TCAATATGTCTCTCTCTAATCAATGTTTTTCTCTTTCTCTCCCCCTCCCTTCTTCCCTTCCACTCTCTCTAAAAATCAATAAAGCTTGACCAGCATGGTTCAGTGGTTGAGCCTGGTCAAGGCACATGTCCCGGTTGCAGGCTTGATCCCCCATAGGGAACATAAAGGAGGCAGCCGACAATGATTTTCTCTCATTGTTGATGTTTCTATTTCTCCCTCTCCCTTCCTCTTTGAAATCAATAAAAACATTAAAATAAAAATATTAAAATCAATGGGGAAAAAATATCCTCAGGGCACAATTAACAACAAAAATGACATCAACCTAAATAACAAGAAGAAATGAACATAAAATGATCGCAAAAGAAAATAAAAGTAGGTGATCTCCTAGCAAGAATTAAACAGACAAACCCCTGATGGTTTTATCGGGGTAGCCACAGAAATTGAGGCTATTAATTTAGGGGACTGGGTGAGCTTCAACTCAGAGACAGGGTCGTGGTCATCTTGCAGGTAGAATGTCACACTCTGCCATGAGCTGGCCATCCCCTTCCCCATCCAGTGACAGAAGCACACAGGCAGCACTGCAAAGCCGGATGCAGGAGCCGGAGACCAGGGGGAGAACACTGATGTTGGGACATCTCTGGGGATGTGCCTGAGCCGGGTGATGGGGAAGTTCCAAAGCAAAACCAGAGGGCGGCAGAGACACGCAGCCTCGCCCAACCCAGCGCAGGCCTGAGTTACTGCTCCACCTGTGTCATTTAAGGCCACCTCTGACTCAGAAGCACACTCAGATGCCCCAACCTCCTCTTCCTTATTATTCTAACTTTCCATGGACCCGTACGGTCAGATGATCTTAGAAAGGTCATCCAAGGACTGTCTTAAAAAAGTGGACTCTACCACATCCCACAGACCCTTTATTCATGTCCAACAATGCTCACTGTCAGGAAGGCCGTGTGTCTGCCACAAGTTGTGAGAATCCCAGCTGAACCACTGTCTTCCCTTTGCTCTCCCTTCAGCCCCACAGGTGGGAAAAGTTGCCCACCCTCTGACATACTGCTCCCATGATGACTCAAAAAGATGGTTGTTCAGGCTCTTCTCTCATGACCACGTGTTCCTCAATGAACCCCAGGAGAAAAGCCACCCGGCATAGACTCCACTGCTCCCATCCCATCCCACACACACTGAGCACGGCCATGGCCACTTTTCAGCTGCATCCAGACTCAGCCTCCCAATTCTCCACCCCCAGCTCCAAGTAGCTACCACCATCAAGAAGTGAGCATGTGCTGTAAACACTGTTTATCCTCACAACCTCCGTATACCTGGACTTCATTGTATAAAGGCCCACATCCCTTGTAATGAAGTGACAGCCTACATGAATGGGTGACTTAGTCCATGCAGGCACAGGTACCAACTCTCTCGGGCCCTCCTACAGCTCCCGGAGGGGGTGCTGTCAGCATGTTCAGAGGCCTGGGGAGCTTCAGTCCCTAGCCTGGGCCATGCAGAGGCAGGATGCAAGTCCAGAGAGGCTGCTTCCAAAGTGCCTGCCATTCGTGGCCTCGCTGTGGAGTCCAGAGCAGGCCCACATGCCGTCTGTTTCCAGGCATGCTGATCTCACCGGTGTCACCAGAACCACACCGCATGGGGCCCCTTCCCTGGGCCTGGCCGGGCACCGGGCACTGGGGCAAGGTGGTGAGGAGGAGCACGGCTCCTACCAGCTGCAGTCCTGGTGAATGCCACGTGAGGTGCTTCCTGCTCCAGGGCTCGCTGGCTGGCTCTCAGCCTCCAGGACTCAAAGTTGTAACTCAGGTCATTTGCAGCTCAGGGACACATGTGCTGGACAGGCTGCTTCTGTTCCTACTTACCTCTGTCCCATCTTTCAATAATAGCTACATGTCAATCTTATCTACACAACATGGAGCCATCTACTCCCTTAACCAGGGTCAAAGGCCACATATTCTGTGTATTCGATGCCCTTCTCAGGCAAATTCTTGTATTCCTCATGCCTCAGTTTCCCCCAGATGTAAGGTGCATGGGTATCCAATGGAAATGAGTTAACATCTGTAAAGCACTTCTCACAGGAATGGCTTATAGTAAGGGCCCAATAAATATTATCTGCTCATAATAGTGCTGCTAAAGAGACACGTTAACTCATTGAATTTTCACAGTTTCCATGAGATGACTATTTTTGCCTCATTTTTAGCAATGAGAAAACTAAAGCTCAGAGAAATTGAAATTAGCCCCAGGCCCACTCCACCATAGTGTCCCACCACCCACAGCAGCAGGCCCTGAGCCTGTCCCTGGTGAGGTCTCCTTCTCGCCCACAGCTGGGAGTGGTGGCCTCACCTGACAGGATAGTTACCTGAACTCCCAGCATCTGTCCTCTGCCGGGTGGACCATGGCCTGGGAGGCCTGAAGACCCTTCCTGCTGCCCCTTCCCAGGTCCCCGGGCCGACAGCCCAGCCCCAGAGGGATCTGAGCCTCTCCACACCACCAGGATCTCACCAGGCAGGTGACAGACTTGCCAAAAGCTGTTGAAACAAGAAAGGTCCGTCTGATCATCTCCCTCAAAGAAATGAGAGGAGCAGAAATGTGCTTTCTGGCAGCCTCCCGGATGGACATCGTTTGCTCAGGCCCTGGGCCCCACACCAGATGGGTGTCCCCGCCTCCCACACCCCACCTGCCTAGAGCCGTGGTCGGCAAACTGCGGCTCACCAGCCACATGCGGCTCTTTGGCCCCTTGAGTGTGGCTCTTCCTAAGCCTTAGGAGTACCCTAATTAGGTTCATAACAATGTACCTACCTATAGAGTTTAAGTTTAAAAAATTTGGCTCTCTAAAGAAATTTCAATCGTTGTACTGTTGATATTTGGCTCTGTTGACTAATGAGTTTGCCGACCACTGGCCTAGAGGCAGTCCTGACCTTACTCGACATGTGGACCCTGCAGGGTGCCCCACGTGTCACCCGTGCACTGCATGAGGTGCACATCCCCAAGCAGCACCCTGACCACCAGCGCCTTGATCCCACCTGCACCCGGCAGAGTTTGGCAACCACAGGCCTCCTCACAGAGCACGCGTGTGAGCACGTGCTTATGAAGCCGACGCGAAGGGTAGTGCCTGGGGCAGACCACAGAGAGGAAGGGAGAGGGAGGCCTGTTGTTCTGGGCCAGGGGCTGCGCAGAGTTGGAAGGAAGAGGTAACAACGCCCTTCTTCCCAGTCACTATGGGAGTGAATGACAGTTGGGTGAAGGGCACAAGAACATGTACTGAGCACTTGCCTCTGCTAAGAATCTTGCCAGGTTCTCAGTGGTTAGAGCACCGGCTCTCTCACCGAAAGGTCTCGGGTTCGATTCCTGGTCAAGGGCATGTACCTGGGTTGCAGGTTCCATCCTGACCCTAGTGGGGGGCGCGGGCAGGAGGCAACCAATCAATGTTTCTCTCTTCCTCTCTCCCTCTCCCTTCTCTCTAAAATCAATAAAACATATCCTCGGGTGAGGATTAGAATAATAATAATAAAATAAAAGATTAGGGCGACTCTTCAGAGAAAATAACAGGCTAACTTCATTGACATTTCACACTCCCTCTACTTCAGCCTCTTAACTCAGGGAGACTTCCCAGCCTCCTTCCTTCTTGGGAAAGGGCTGCCCGGCCTCTCCACTCGCACCCTCCAC